AAAGCTTGACTTTGATCAAAGCTAATATGCGAACTAAATAAAAACGGAGGGAGTAACTAAGAGCGCCTTTGTATATAGCTACTACAGTACACTGGCATAAGAACACGTTAGATGATCAGCACAATGGTCAGCACAATGCACAATGAGACCAGGTCATGGAGTCGGTCAGCATGGAAATGGAATCAAAGGATGTGAATCACGTCCGCCAGCACTTTTGGCTGTTTGTGCATTAACCCTGCAGAAGAAACAAGTCGAAATAAGCAAATGTGGAGTTGCTAAGGTGGCACGACGAAGTATGTGTTAAGAATGTTGTCAAATTCAGATGAGACAACATGGGAAAACAGATTGTTGTCATTGGAAAATAAAACAGAATACATGCTGACAGCAGAAAGAAATAACAAAGCACGTATTTTAACTATAACTAATAACTTGTGCCAAAACCCAAGGCAAATCAATTCAGATGAGTAGCTTATAAACTCGAATACAAATGCAAGTCAAAAGGGCATGATTCCAATAGAGAAGACTGCAAAATGCAAAAGAGCAATTTAGGCAATGAAGCCTGTGTAAAAATACTAAATTTCTCGTATTGTCCACTCCACCATCCAGTTTCTATTTCTATGAAAAGATGACGGTGTGAGCACACAAATACGGCAGAAATATAGCATGTTTATTAGCGGATGCCTGCAGCATTCCTTGCCCGGTTCTACAGTATGCTGACGACACTCTTATCATTCTACAAGCTGACCATGAACAACTTCAAACTCTAAAATCTATTCTTCTTGATTTCTCAAACGCCACGGGTCTGGTGATTAATTTCCACAAAAGCACTTTTGCTCCGATTCATGTTGATCCGTAACTTGCATCTCAACTTGCAACTAGTTTTGGCTGCACGGTTGCATCGTTTCCTCAATCCTACCTTGGCCTTCCCCTCTCCACTCACAAATTAAACCTAAAAAATTTCTTCTTCATCATTGACAAGATTGATCGTCGTCTCGCGGGTTGGCGAGGGGTTCTCCTCACCCTAGCAGGTCGTGCTGTTTTGGTTAGGGCAGTGCTTCGAGCCTTACCAATCTATGCCATGACCGCTCTCCTGCTACCTATGGGTATTGTCCAGAAAACCGATAAACGTTGTAGGGCCTTTTTCTGGGCGGGTCAAGATAAAGTTTCGGGCGGACAGTGTAAAGTGGCTTGGGAATTTGTGTGTGCGCCGTTCTCTCGAGGGGGTCTAGGTTTTTCTTCTCTGCATCACTTAAACTCTTGCCTACTGCTTTCCCACCTAAATAAGCTTCACTCAACTTTTGATACTGGGGCTCGCTCCCACCTCGCTGTCAAGTATGGATGGTCTGATAACCGGGACCTTGATACTCCTCACCCCTTTGAATCTAATGTTTGGCACGACATCGCCAAGGGGCTTCAATTTTTCCGATCAATAACCAAGGTGCATATTGGCAATGGTATGACCACCGCCTTTTGGCTGGACCTTTGGGTTCATAACTCCACCCAAAATCTCGCAACAATTTTCCCTGCCATTTTCTCCCATTCGCTCAGACCCTCGGCCACAGTTGCCCGGGTTCTAAGCATTCCTACTTTTAATCTAGATTTGGCTCCGCGCCTTTCTCATGACGCTGAGCTGGAACTAGAAAACCTACGCGCTATGCTGGCAACTGTCTCCTTGAATGTGCAGGTACATGACAAACGAATTGGACGTATCGACGGCAAGCCGCTGACTTGCAACTCGGCTTACAAGGCTATCTGGAGCGACAAGCCTATCGACTACTTCGCTCCGTCCATTTGGAAAAATTATGCACCCAACAAATGCAGAATTTTTCTATGGCTCGCAAGTAAAAATCGACTCTTCACCAACGAAAGACGCTTCAACAGGGGCCTATCTGACTCCAACCGCTGCCCGTTCTGCCCAGCCTCTGAATCAACGAGTCATCTATTCCTTCAATGCTCCGATCTCCGCCCTCTTTGGCAGGAACTGAGCTCTCTTTCTGCTACAGTACCGTCGGACTTTCAGCATCTTTGGGCATGCACCTGGCAAACAGACCACGATCAACGGTCATCATTGCTATTCTCTGGAGTATCTGGAAAAGAAGAAATGCAAAAGTTTTTAGGCAGGATCTGCAACCTATCCACCTCATCGCCCGCTCAGCTGCTGACGACCTCATGCTTTGGTCCAACAGATGCTCCAACGAGCAGGCCGTGAACCTGTTCCACTTATCTATGAGATTGTAACCCAACTATTCTTGTAATCTCATCCTCACCCCCAACTCTCACCTTTGTAAATGTACTCTATCTTATAATGAAATGGTTCAGGCCGGCGTAAGCCCGCCGTAGCTCCGTCAAATATAGCATGTTTATAATTAGCTAATAAATGTAAGGATACATGCACAGCCAAACTATATCAACCATTAGCATGTCAACACAAGATCTTCGAAAAATCCTACAGGAGAATTAACAATTACATCTCTGTTTCGTCTAGCAGCATTGCAAATTATGCAGTCCAATCATATACTCACCAGAGCTCTGATAAACATCACATTCCACAGAAGAATGCACCTTGAAGGCGTTGCATATCTTTGTGCATCCATCATTACTTGCCGAGGCCTCCGGTGAGAACTTCACGATAATTCCTTCAAGCATCGCTTTAACATCAGTTTCAATGCAGGACGACCTTAAGCCTATGCACGCAGCGGATGACAGAGGAAAGGTTCAGCACCAATGCACGGCGAAGGTGGCGCGGCGGAAGCAAGACCAGTCGTGGACGAGGGAGCCGTCGATTAAGCCGGAGTGGAGTTCGAGGACGAGCTCCTCCGGCTCGAGCCGCGCGGCGGCGCGGAGCAGCGAGCTGACGCGGGCGTTGTCCACCCGGTGCTCCTCGGGGACGCGCCCGCACCCATGGTTGCCGGTGACGCAGATGTGGAGGAGGGAAACCGTGGGCGGGAGGCGAGCGCCGCTTCGACCGAGGGGAGCGCGACCTCGCGGAAGACAAGCCGGCGGAGGCGGGCCTAGAGGCCGCGCCACCGGCGGGAGAGGACATTAATTTTTTAGTTTCGGGAAAGAAATTGGTGTTGGATATTAATTTACTAAATATTTTACAATGTTCTGTAAATAAATTATATTTTTTTTCTTGTTATTGTTTTCTCCGCTTTTGCGATCTATAAAGATACACTATTTATACTACCGTTGTTTCTAAATGTGAAACGTTTTGACAGTTTAAATTAAATTGTCGAAACGTGTTATATTTAGAAACAAAGGGTGTGATCAGTTGTATGATTTTTTATTTTTTACTTTAAGTCATCAAATGCACATTTGACCGAGAGAGGACAACCATGTATCGAGGAACTTCTATCTCCTAGATTAACTCTATGATTATGAATAAAACTATTGTATCCTCGCAAAATGAAAACTTGCACACACAAAATGTATTTCAAAGTTTCAAGCAACTGAAAATGATAAACAATACCTTTAGGATTGGCCGTTAGTCTTCCACCTCGAGAGCATTCCCCCACACATCTTTAAGTTCTCATTTTCTTTCTCCTATATAATTTTCCTCCTACTGATGTCTCGCCTCTACTCCCCGTTCCTATCACACTTTACAAGACGCATAGCTTGTTCTCGATGCAACGATGGCGGCGACCGATTCACCGGGGAATGGGGATGGTTGGACATGACATGATGGGACTGTTGGAATATGGTATCAGTTCGGACTTTTGAAGCAACTATCTGATGCATGAATTCAATATGGTATCCAAGCCAAAAGGTCATGAATTCATGTCATCGAAAGAATGTACAGGTTAGTGATGGCAATACAAAGGCGGGGAAGGCGATAACCCAATTGTTGATGGCAGGACAAACTCGGGGAATATACATGGGAGGCCAAGTCATTTGTCACGTTGAAGCAGCAACGGTGCCCCTAGCCGGTGGCTGATGACTTTTTCCTAACAATATGGGATCCTCAAGGCGATATTTCAACTATCATACTCACTGAAAAATATTGTTTCAAATAGAACTAATTTCACAATGCAAGAGTTACATTTCACAAACGAATGAATATTTATTTTAAATCCGGCTTGGTGTTATCGACGTCTCGACATTATTTTTCTTCTCCAACAGCGATAAAATCTAGAAACATTTGACTTGTTGAATTCTAAAACTACCTACATTGCGGTGCAAAATGTTCGGCTGGCTGATTTATTTTTTGTGTGTTATCCCTCTTTCGGTTGGACGGTCTTTTAGCTTTGGCAGGCAACACAGCTATTACATAACTCGGCGTTTTCATGTACAGCAGAAAAAAAACATAGTCGCGTGAACATATATCTGAATGTAAGCAAAGGATGATAAGACAAAAGAAAAGGAAAAAAACAAATGTACAGCCCATGAATAGCACCTCAAAAGAAAAAGAAAAAAATGCAGAAGTGGAAATATTTTCTTACAGCCAGTCAGCTTCCTTCATCACCACTCCAGAATACAGTTTATACAAACACCAGTGCATCAGAAAATACCAAATGGGTGTCATATAAGGCAACACCCGCAAAACCTCTTGTCGTCCCGTATAACGATATCCTCCGCAAAATGAATGAGAAATGAAGAAGAATGCAGCTTAAGCCACAGTGAAGCTACTAATCAATTTACAATTTCCCTGAAATTTACAAATTACAGCTACATTTTCCCAAGTGTGTATATGATGCCGAATAGCTCGATTGTACTCCCGCCGATCCTGACGGGTACGGGAATGTTGAAGACTGTCACGCCACTGCACGCCTGCATATGCAAAGAATTTGCTATCCTGTTCTACATAGTAACATTTTCGAAATGCAGACTAGCGGATATCCGTGAGCCCATTGTTACAACCCATCTCCTGTATAATATGAACACCTAGCGCCCAAAGATATGAGCATGTCCGAACATGTCCACAGTAGGCTAAATGGACGATGGAGCCTCAGCAGTGAGCGTGTACGATCTACTGCGACAACTCACAATCTCCAAGCGACGAATCATAGTGGAAGAAGATTCCGGATATACTGCCGGGAAGCACTGTTTCGTCCAAGGCCGAGCCCTAGGCCGAATGGTGTCCTCTCATTCTTCTTGCTGTGGTCGCAACACTGAGAGGAACCACCTTGACTGTGAGAGTTTGAGTTGGCATGTGAATCAGCACAAGCATGGTCATCGCAATTACCATGATGGGAATGACCCTCGCCATTCTGTGAGACTGCACTTGTCATCTGTATCATTCCTATTTCTTCGTCAGTGCGCGATGCATGCTCGAGCCGCTCAACGTCCTCATTGTACCCGTTTACCAAGAAGTCTGAGCAGTTCTTGCGCACCCCATGGTCGAACGGATTTCTGAATCTGCCAGCTGGACCTCTTAGATAAGTGTATCTCATGGAATTGGCCATCTCGTTGGTTGTGATGTTCTTTGCTATCTACAAGGGAGAGAAATAAGGCATGAAGAAGAATACATGGTACAGATCAACATGTCCCTCCTGTAGTCCAGCGAGGCTATAACTACTGGACGGAAAACATGGTCCCACACACAAACCTCACAGATAGCTTCATAAATCAAATAAGCAGACAATGATGTTTCGCATCTGGCCTTGATTTTAGCTCTGTTCAGTAATTGCATTCTTGACTTTGCTATTGAATTCCAAACATGATCCAGTTTTATTGACAAATGTTTAACTATATTGCCTGACCTATAATGTTGTCTTCATACTTAACAGGTCATATACTCATGAATGAACTGACAACGACATGCCAATCTGACATATCCAGAAATTTCCATTAAAAAATGATCCAGCAAGGCACAAATATCTGGGAAAACTCTAGTAAAGGTGTTACCACAGTAGCGTACTCTCCGTAAAAAAAAGATACAGCAAGGCACAAATAACGTTATGTTCAGGATGTTTTATGCAAGTTCATGCCTTAGTTTAGTTAGCAATCAAACAATGTTGAAGATTGTGCTTGTGCACACAATGCACAAGCATGTCAGTGGCTTCACGATTTTAGAATAAAATAACAAATAACTTGGTTTTCTTAGGTAAAAACATCAAGATTTATAACATTAAAACTTTAAATACCTGGTATGCTTGAACTCCAGTTAGACATGCAACACCAAAGAAAATGAAAAGGTCCATCATGAAAAAAGAAACAGCTCCAGTATGGTAAACAACAGAATAGCCAAGCCAATCACCAAAGGATGCTGGAGAAGCTGGGTCACTGACAGTCCCTGCCAACAAACACAGTAATGAATCATACGGAACATTTCCAGTCTATGTTGCAAGGAAAAGCCACAGAAGACTTAAGACTATACTTATGATGGCAGCAGAACCAGTAATGATCATTGCAATTACTTCTAGAGTGATGAACATGAAGAATTCCCATTTGTTCTTCTGCAGTTACATTCCACTATAGATCAGACTGAAGAACAAGCAGATATGAAGAGAATAACAAAATTCAAACAAAAAGTAAAGAAAGAATCAGCAAGTGATAAGCACGGGCTCTTCATAGCGTTACTTTCTTAAAAGTAAGGTGGTATCATAACCTTCTGTCTACATAATATTCATCAAGCAACATAAACTGTCCAGTACATCTTCAGAATAGGTGATAAGTTTTTTTTCTTTTTCGAGAAAACGCAAGAGACCTTTGTGTTTCATTGCATTGAGAAGAGAGAGTTTGTTGTTACAATCCTCCTAGGAGGTAGGTTACGGAGCACAAGAAAGAAACTAATGCACATCCCAGGTCAAACGCAGAATGGCAAGAGGTGATAAGTTGATAGCTACATTTGATCACATGTAGGCACATATGACATGACTGAAAGCCTACCTTGCCGACACAATTAGATACCCAGGGGCAGTGATGGTCAAACTGCTCAACACAGCGATCACATGTAGAACAATGTTTCGAACGAACAGGTCTGACAATCTGTAGAACGACACGTTCAGAAATCAGAGACCTAAGAATATAATTCTAGGACAGAGACAACTAATTCATCACTGTATAATGTAGTAATGTACCACTTACTTTGCAGGTTATACAAAGCTGTGACCAGTTACCAGTCAGAAGTGCAGGATTGTCTAACTCCATCTTCAACAAGGGTTCCTAAAGCAAAATGGGATTGCAACATTTTGGAATATGCTTAAACCTTAAATTTGGTAACGCGTCTAGAATAGCAAATGACCATAAAGGTGCTTGCAGCAAACCAAATTACTAATCTTTCAAACTTACATCATCCCTTTGATTATGTGAGTCTCTTGTATTCGCACTGATGTAGCCAGGGTCTTTCCTGCAGAAAGTAAAAGCAAATTTTAGATCATAGTGGTGTTGCTTAATGATAATTAGGTCGCTTGTCTCTAACTGGGTGGTAATAGGGAAGTAACACTGTATTTTAATAGAGAAAATTTGCAACACATATATACGTTGCAATGGCAAAAGAATAATGTTTAAATAATTTGCCATGTACGTAACACATACAAGAGTAATCTAAACAGGATGTCATATATGAGTGCAAATATGCAAGCAGACACATAATGAACTCTGCCACTGTCTGAAAGTATTGTCAAGAAAAGTGGTAACTGACAAGAACCAACATGCTTGGTGGATTCAACTTTTTCATAACTACTCCCTCCATTCCAAAATACTTGCCGTGGTTTTAGCTCAGAACTAAAACCACGACAAGTATTTTGGAACAGAGGGAGTACTAACCAAATGCTTCAGTACCTGCTACATTTATAGAACATGACCAAGCCAGCAGTTGCAACGAAAACTCCGGACCATGCAAATAGCCCAAATGCTGGTGTCATACCCATGTTATATTGTCCTGGTAAAAAGGAAATATAGTAAGCACCGCAGTACGGAAGAACAGGGCGAGTGAAAAGACATTAGAAACGCTACTTACCTGCTATAACAGAATGTATATATGTAGCAAGCAATACAACAGCAATACACCAAAGAAGAGGAGCAAGCCCTACTTTTGATAGCTTTGCAAATGTCGGATTCCCATTACATCCACTGTCATGTACCCTTCTAGCATTGTCCTGTAAGTAATCAAGCAAATCAAGTCTTCAGATTCTTCTTGGAAACAAGAAAATACATTTCCCCAGTTCAAATATCAGCAATACAAGCCCTTTCAACTCAAGATCAACATGATCGCTTTTTTGCAGATAATATACATTGAGGGATAACTGAAACGGTTAATCTACAAGGCATCATAAATAATTAAAGTGAAGAAGTCTTAATCCATGAGTGCAATCAGCCAACCACATGTAAATACTAAACAGTTAATCATTTCAATTCCTAAGTTCAAATGGAATCTGCAAAATATCTGTGAGACAGTAAGAGGATAGGTCACAAAGAAGAAAATACATTTTTCTCCTCGGTTGCATCTATGTACATACAAGTACCAGTTTCTGGTATTTTCCAGCCAAACCAGTATCTGCTTTTTGTTGTAAATATAGCCAATTAGACATGTCATTTGACTGTACTTTTATCAAGTCTACACATAAAATTACCAGGTCCCAAAAGCATGTGCACCATTCAACAAATTCGCCAACAATACCTCATCATGAAACTCAGCCTTCCTTAACGATTTTAAACAATTAGAAAGCAGGCATACAAAATCTATAATGATGCAAATTAATATTGCTTATAGTTTTTGTCTTTATGCAAATCAAAATAATTACTAGACAGAATCTCTATTAGATGATAGTGCTTGTGCATTGAGCCTCCGAGGTGCTGGAAAATAGTAGCTCAAGTAGACTATAGAACAGAAATGACACGGTCCATGTTACTCACAAGAAAAAATGCAACTTGTCGATGATTCTTATCAGCAGCAAGCTGCGCTGGAGTTAAACCAGTTTTGTCTTTCACCATCAAGTCATCCTTTTTCCCAGCCTGAACTAGCACAGTGCATGCCTCTAGATTACCCCGGATAGCAGCCCAATGTAAAGGAGTACAACCTACGGCAGCATTTGTCATAAAGAAATAAAAGTCAAGCTCCATGGCTAAGTTGCTGTGTTCTATTTAACGGCAGAGCAGTGAATAAATTTAGCACATGCCTTCCTTATCCTGCCGCACCCTATGAGCATCCAAATACAAAAGAAGACGTATCGAATCTGCGAACCCCTTGTAAGCAGCCCTACAAGGTAAGCAATACATAAGAAAACAGAAATGTAAATGTAAAAGCGGGTGCTGAAGTTCTGTTCAGACATATGTTACATAATGTACCAGCAGAAATAATTGGTAGGCTAATGAGTTACTCAAGACTCAAGAGCATAAGGTACGAACCAGTGCAATGGGCTTCTTCCATCGTTGTCAGGGACATCTGGATCGGCATTCCATTTTGCAACAATGTGATAAATAAATGCTGTCTGACCATACTGCGCTGCAACATGTGTGGCCTGCAAACAACAGTATATATTGATTTAAAGAGTTGTAATTAATTCAATGCCACATGTGAATGCGTTGATTCTTGCCTTTCTTTTCATGTAGAAAAAATCTTATAGCCAAAGTTTTGTTTGTCTATTACAAATCTCTTATTGTGTAACTTGCAGACAGACAATATGAGAATAGTTGATTGATTTGGCTGGCAAATATCCAACGATTAGTTGTCTATCAGTTGTGAATGAACATTTGACACCCAAAACCAAACGCAAAGGCAAAACAAGGGCCAAAGACGCGGAAGAAATCAATATGCAGACCTGATAGCCATATAAATCAGCAGCATCCACCTTAGCTCCTTCTTTCAGAAGTAGTTCAGCAACTTGTATGTGACCACGTACGGAACTCCAGTGAAGTGCTGTCTGCCCAGTGTGATCCACGGCATTTACATCTCCACCATGCTGTCCAAAGACCACAAAATCGTCACCCAGCCAAATAAAGCACATTCAGGCAACTTCAACTACCAGGAACAAGCACTGCGTAGAAAGCCCGTTCACGCACTCAAGTACAAAACAGACATATTATCGATCGCCATGGGGTACACTACATTCTACAAGCAGACTATCTCGAGCCCACCATGCGCTCATTCGCTTATACGTACTTGAAACTGTGGAGGAATTAAAACGGAAACAAATGGCGAATGCGACAATGAACAGGCTGGTGCCCTCGAACGAATCCACGAGCCACAAATCCATGCGGTTAACCAACTCAAATATACGGCCTTGGGAAAATTCCCCTCGTTGCAAGCATGGCTGCCCAAACCTACCCAGCCACAGCACTAGGACATTCAATTATCCCCTCAACTGAGACACCAAATGAGCAGCTAAAGAAACTCCCGCCGCCGCATTCCAAGTTCACACATGCTCCATACAATCCTACTAAGGCGCATGTCCAATTCCAAGCGTGGTATCGCGGAAGTAAAGCTGGGAGGGTGCTGGCACCTCGAGGATGTACTGCGCGGCGGCGACGCGGTTGTTGAGGACGGCCCACTGGAGCGCGTAGTAGCCGGAGGCGTCGGTGCCGCCGACGGGGCGGCCCTCCGCCTCCACCAGCCGCTGCAGCTTCTCCAGATCGCCGTACGCCGCCGCCGTGTACACGTCGTCCTTGAGCGCCTCCTCCGCCGCCGCCGCGGCCGCCTCCAACGGCGCCTCCGCCACGGCGGAGGAGGCGGCGGCGGTGGTGTCCTCGAGCACCTCGATCTCCGACGCCATGGGTGGGATCGGGGCGGGGGTTTTGGGGAATTGCGAGGCCGGTGGGACGAGGGGAGCTTGGCCCGGGCTGCTGCGGTGGTTGGGGAGAGCGTGCGTGCGTGCGTTTGACTGGGCGTTGGCGGCGAGGTGACGGCCTCCGGCGACGCGGGCGGACGGGCTGGTCTCTGGTGGTGGGCCGGAGGCGGAGAACGCGAGAGGGGGCGGGGGAGGGGAGACCCGGACCGGAGAAGGGGGACGAATGTGGGGAACTTTTGCGTGCCAGGACCTCTGTTTTTTCCTTATTTCCTAACCGGGCTACGAGATTTCAATTATTTTTTGAAAAGGATGAAATTCAAATTAATTTACAGCCTCAACGCTACATGTCTGATTTTCAAATCAATTTACAACTTCAATTAATGATTGTTAGAGCTAGATTTACGCATAGGTGGAGACAAAAGCGTTTACCAAAGTGGGTTGCGCCGCGTTGATTTTGTGGTTTGGGTTTTTCCTTATACCTCTCGAACCACCTGTATTATTTGAATTTGAAATAAACTCGTCCGAGTTTAGATAGCGAATGCGTAAAGATGGGCAGAGCGCCATCGCCTATGGACACTCTGCCCATATCCCTTTGCCATTCTCGTTTTTTCCAATGTTACGTATTCGCTGCAGCTTTTATTTACATGTCTACTCCATAGGTACAATTGGCTGAGACGTGGCCATAGCTGGCCAAATGGGCCGGGCCTGGCATGCCGACCCACAAGCACGCTGGCACGGCACGTGATGGGACAGACCCGACACGCTCTAATCGGGTCGTGCCAGGCACGCCGCCCGCCTTGGGCCATGCCTGGGCCTGAAGGCTGGGCACGCGGGCCGGCACGGCACGGCCCATTTATCTTTTTTTATTTTTTATCCAGATTTTTTTTATATATAACACATAAAAAACAGCCCAGCGGGCCAAAATCAGCCGAAGAAACAACCTAGCAGGCCATCAAGCTAGTGGGCCAGCGTGCCTGGCGTGCCATCGGGCCGGCCTGTTTGGCTCCTGGGCCGTGCTTGGGCCGGAGGGGGCAGAACACGGCACGGCCCGACTAATAATCGTGCCATGGCGGGCCGGGCCGTGTCAGGCACGATTAAGATGGGCCATGCCGTGCCGGGCCGGGCCGGCCCGTTTTGCTAGCTATGGACGTGGCCTTTTCGATAACTCGGCCTACTTGAACAAGGAGTGTTTTCTATATGCTCCACCTCAAAGTACATAAAAATTGCACTTGATCTAAGCATGGCCTAATTATCGCTGCCGGTTCTCCATGTTAAATTCGTGGTACATTTTTCCTTTTTTGAGAAGCACACCTCCTTTTTCTTGATTATCTTAGTTATGTAGTGTTTTTTCTTGATAATCTTAGTTGTGCAGTGATTTTCTAATAACGCTTTTTCGATGCAGTGACTGCTATTAATGTGAGATGGAGATATTGATATCATACTTTGTTTGGTTTCTAACTTGTTAGATGATGCTATTGAAAATTTGAAATGACATTACGATCCAGTTAAGCCTTAAAGGATCCTGATAAACAACTATACTCGGATGCCTATCCTTTTGTTTACTCCATTGACCCTGAGAAACAACACATGCTTTGACGCCTATCCTTTTGTTATACTCCAGTCATCAGTGACCCTGTGTGATGGCCTGGCTTATTAGGGATGATAGACTACTCATATTAATAAGGAATTCCTTCTTTTCCGGGAGCCCATTCGGACAGAACTCCAAAGTTAAGCGTGCTCAGCTTGGAGTAGTGTCAGGATGGGTGACCATGCGCACGAGTGAGGGTTCACCACACCTCAATTGGAGCAATTTGACACAAAAACATAGACCACAATAAGTCTGCATTGCATCCACCCAATCATCTACAAAATGATAAGAGTAACTCCCACCGAAAATTCAAGACATGAAGGTCCAAACAATTTCGCTTGGCCCGTGTGTCGTGGACATTTGAGGTGTCCGTTTTGATGTACCGTGTTGGAGTTGCGATTGATTGTTTGGCATGCATGCTTGGATGGGGAGTATTTCCTATGCCTCCGCTCAAAGTAGACAAAAATCACACTCAACCCAAGCATGGCCTAATCATTGCTGCCAGTTGTTGGCTGTATAGTTTTCCATGTGTAAATGAACGCCTCGCACACCTTTTTCTTGATTGTCTTACTCGTGCAGTGTTTTTCATTAAGACGTTGCTCTCATTCCCAACTAACTAGGTGATGCCATTGAAATGACATTACGATCCAGTTAACTAAGGACCCTGGGAAACAAGATGGATTCTGAATCATGTCCTTTTGTTATACTCCAGTCACCAGTGACCCTGACCAGACATTGTACCATCCTAGTCCCTGAAGCAGCTACTTTTCACGAAAGTGCTTTTCTAAGCTCGAGCGTTTGTGAGCTCGGGTGAACAGTAAAATAGAAAGAAAAAAATTGCAAAATTTCACCACGAAATGACATTCGTGAAAAACATGAGGGAAAATTTGAAGAAAAAAAATATTATTTTACTGTTCACTCGAGCTCACATAAGCTCAGTTTACCCTCGTCCCTACTTTTATGCTTTCCGAGAAATTCAACACAAAAACATTCCCTCGAGAAAGAAATTCGACGCAAAAACATAGTCCGCACAAAGTCATATTGCATCCATCCAGTCACCCACAAAATGATAAGAGTAGCTCCCATTGAATTCAAAACATGAAATCTGCAATGTGCATACAAGATTCATCATCATCGTCATCATCATCATCATCCATCTACAGGCACAATAGAACCCCCAAGACACTCTAGTCCAAACCTGTCGAATGGCCATTCATTTCGCTACCCTCTGCTACCACTACTACATCTACCGGAACAAAAACTAGACAAGTTCAACATGATGGTGAAAGACCGGGAACAACGGAATGTAAAACACAAGAGGGCCATCATCTGAAGGAGCTCCATGACATGTAGATGAAGTAGCACGCTCCCCACTGGCAAAACTAGATAGTCAATCTTCTCGCTCTAAAGATACTTAAAGAGGATGCCTCCATAGGTGGCGAAGAAGGGGGCGAACACGAGGGACTCGACCGCCATGAGCTTGATGAGGATGTTGAGCGAGGGGCCCGAGGTGTCCTTGAGAGGGTCCCCGATGGTGTCGCCGATCACAGCAGCCTTGTGGCAGTCTGAGCCTTTTGGGCCCAGGCTCTTTGCGTGCTCAGATGCGCCAGCCTCAATGTATTTCTTCGCGTTGTCCCAGGCACCACCAGTGTTTGATGCTGAAATGGCAATCTGAATAAAAACAACACAGTTTTGAGTGGAACGTCAACATAGTTATGAATGCAACATGCTCCAAAAATACAATGCTAAGTATACTCCTGAAAACAGAATGTTCCACCAACCTGAACACCAGAAACCAGAGCACCGGCAAGGACACCAGAGAGGGTCTCAACACCGAAGAAGGTCCCGACGATAAGAGGTGTCAGCATGACAAGAGTACCCGGGGGGATCATCTCCTTGATGGACGCATCGGTGGAGATCTTCACACATGTCGCATAGTCAGGCTTGGCGGTGCCCTCCATGAGCCCAGGGATCGTGTTGAACTGCCTCCGCACTTCCTCCACCATCTTGAGAGCCGCGCTTCCAACACTCTTCATGGTCATCGCAGAGAACCAGTACGGGAGCATAGCGCCAACAAGGAGGCCAATGAAAACGTTTGGTGTCAGAACATCAACAGTTGTGATCCCAGCACGGCTCACAAAAGCACCGAAGAGAGCAAGGGACACCAAGGCAGCTGAGCCAATTGCGAATCCCTACAGGTAAAAAATTATGGTAAACAGAATTTAGTAGTCTGACATGAAATTTGTGGAAAAAAATTATAACTGAAGAAAGTATTTTAGTTACAATGGATTGGTAGTTCCTTGAATGTGATCTAGGTCATTCAGCTAGCAAATTGAAGTGGTAAGATAGGCATTGTACCTTTCCAATGGCAGCAGTTGTGTTTCCTGCAGCATCCAGAGCATCAGTTCTTTCACGAATTCTGTGGCTCATGCCAGCCATTTCAGCAATGCCTCCAGCGTTGTCACTGATAGGGCCATAGGCATCAATGGCAAGACCGGTCGCAATTGTGCTGAGCATTCCAAGAGCAGCCACAGCAACACCATACATCGCGGCAAGGCTGAAGCTGAGGAAAATACTGAAGGCAATGGCAAAGATAGGGATAATAACTGATTTGTATCCCAGAGCAAGACCAAAGATGACATTGGTTGCAGCTCCAGTTCTGCAGGAATCAGCGACATCCTGCACAGGACTGAAAGGGTCGAAGTGTCAGGAACTTGAAACTCATGACGTAGATCACAATCATTATTAATTATATGACCAAAATTGCAAGTACCTGTATGCATTGCTTGTGTAGTACTCTGTGATAAATCCAATGACTAGGCCAGCCCAGAGACCAACCGCCACACATAGAAATAGTTGCCTGTAAAATTTAAGGTGAAGTGAGATCATGAATTTAATGAGCAAGGTCTGAACAAAATTATATAAATTCGAATTGAAAAGATGGCAATACCAGCTATGCACCGTCTTCTGGGCACCAAAGTTGAATATTGTGAAGGTATATGGGAGACCTAACCAACTGACTAGTGCAATGCCAACGGTCATCACGGCAGTGGAGATAATAAGCTGTTTTTTAAGGGCAGGCTCTATTTGATCTACCTCCTTCACCTCAAAGAAATCGGTTGCAAAAAGAGTTGTTATCAAACAGGCTATTATGCCCACTGAGCTAATTAGGAGTGGGTACATCATGGGAGTGAATTCACGGTTGATTCCAAAGGAAGAGATTGAGGCAACAACAAGAGCAGCACAAGATGACTCGGCGTAGGAACCAAAGAGATCTGAACCCATTCCAGCAATATCTCCAACATTGTCACCAACATTGTCTGCAATGACCTGCATGAAGGAAGGAATGGTCATTCTCACATGTAGATAAAAAATACCTATGGAAATTTTAATACTCTGTTCAACAACAGAGGATGGACACTTACGGCCGGGTTCCTCGGGTCGTCTTCAGGGATGTTCCTTTCTACTTTCCCAACAAGATCAGCACCAACATCAGCAGCTTTGGTGTAAATCCCACCGCCTACACGGCCGAAAAGAGCCATGGAAGAACCGCCAAGACCATAACCGGTGATAGCCTCGAAAAGACCCTCCCAGTCATCGCCATAATAAAGCCCAAACAAGTTGATTGCGACGTAAAGAACAAAAAGGCCACTTGCAGCAAGAAGGAAGCCCATCACAGCACCAGAGCGGAAAGCAACGATAAACGCCTTCCCAACACCCTTCCTTGCCTCGAGAGTTGTCCTGGCATTCGCGTAAGTCGCGATCTTCATTCCAAGGAAACCAGACACCAGAGAGGTGACCGCACCCAGCACAAAGGCAATTGTGCTGAACGCGGCATTAGCAAGAGCCGGCTTGCATGTCTTGCCCACGCTGTAATGGCAAGGCTGACTCTTTGTGCTGAACCCCTCGATGGAGCCAAGGAAGACGAAGATCAGGACCGCGAAAACGGTCATGAACCCTCCGGCATACTTGTATTCAGTGAAAAGGAAGGAGGTTGCCCCTGTTTACAAGAGAGCACGAGTGTTCAGACCACAAATGCATATAGAACAAAGGTAGATACACATTTTCAGGAGGGAGTTTATCAATAATAAAACATCGAGGCAAATACAAAATGCCAAAGGTGGGAGTAATGACAATGTACTGTGGCACACATCAACTCATCAGATCCAAGGTATTGTCAGCCATACAGCAATCTGTCGGCTTTTATCCAAAAAAAAAACACCGACCCGACACATATTGTAGATTATATTTAACCCTGTCAATCCCTCATTTTTATTTACACCGGCAAGCTCTTAAAACAAACTTATATATCACTAATCATTAAGAATATAGTCTGCTAACAACAACCCAGGAGCCTTGTGCAAAAACAGAGCACTGAAATCAGCAACACCTAACATTCCTCCCCAACTGCCTTGCATGAAAACACTCATCAACAGGACACAAAGATCCGGCCCATCCATGTGCGCTCCTAGGATTCCTTCCAAGTTAACAAGCATGAATATGCATGTGCGGGAGCTAACTACAGCCTGCTGCTATAATGCAGGTACACAGAAAATTTGTCGCCGTGTCTTACTAAGATGGCAGCTGGGAGGACCACGGTTGCAATAACTTGTCCTCTTCTTCATGCGGTTAGCTTATCCTATCTATCCCTGCAGGCCAGCGTGGTCGCTGCTGGGCTTTGTTGGGTCCGGGGACCTCACTTCTCAAGCAAGAACAAATCACTTCCACTAGTTTTTTTTTCCCTAAGTTGAACCAAGAAAAAACACTTCTGATTTACTGTCAAGTGTCAACCATCCCCACAGGTCTGCATCCCCACTCGTTCCCACAAGAAATATCTCCAGGGAAGAAAAATCTTGTCGGGAGCGACGGATGGTTAATTAATTTAACCACGATTAGCGCACGCTGAAGCAAGAACTGCTATTATAACGCGTGCTGCGCAAAGCGGGGACATCGATATTATAATGTCTGCTACTACTCCTAGTAGATAGATCCACCTAAAGCGCAGGACTAATACTTTAACAGTTGGTACAAGTACATAACCAAGCACATAACAAATTCAGAAACAACAGTAAGACTCGGTAAAACAGTACAGAATTACGAATCCATGTATCAAAATATGAACAAATTACTGCTACAGAACACACCAAAAATATGAAATTACCGCTACACGACACATCAAAATATGAAATTACCGCTGCAGAACACACCAGTATTATGCTGGATTATGATGCTACACGCTACGCGCCGCGGCGGATTCAGACGGGAAAAGTCTCTGACGGGTTCACGCCGCAAGCGAACAGAAAGCAGTCAAACCGGCAGAGAAACTACTCCTGGCGCCCGGTTCCTGCGCGCTCGGAAGGCCAGAGCCACCGCCGAAATGGCCGAGATCTACCTACCCACCCACCCTCGGAAGTCGGATCGATCCACGGCCGCCGCCGACCGGAGCGCGAACTACTACTACCAGCTACGGCCGCCGAGCCGAACCATCTGTGTGTGTGTGGGCGGGCGTGGCTCACCTTCGGAGATGGCGGTCTGGATCTCGGCGCACTTGAGGACGACGTTGTGGTCGTTGAGGCCCTCCTCCTCCTCGATGAGGTACTCGCTGGCGCCGTCCTTGCCCCCGGCGCCGGCTCCTCCTCCGGCCGACCCGCCCTCACCGCGCGGCTCGGGGGCGACCTTGACCTTGGAGACGAGCACCCACTGCAGCACCGCGAACGCGATGCCGACCGCCGCCGCCACCGGCACCACCAGCTGCGTGGCCAGCTCCGGCAGGATCGCCGCCGCCACCACCATCTCCTCCGGCGAGATCAGGACGCGCGCAAGACCGGTTCTTTTCCGTTCCGTTCCCCCACCTTCAGCGGAGGATTAGGTAGTGCGAGAGCGAGGGAGGGAAGGGAGAGCGGAGAGGAGCGCAGGTGCGGGGAGCGGCGGGTTTTATAGGCGGGGAGGAGAGGAGAGGAGAGGGAGGCCGGGACTGGGGAGAGGAAGAGGATGGAGTTAGAGTGTAGGAGGTGACGTGGAGGGCCGGAGTGGCAGTTCCGTGATTTGCGGGGTCTTTGGGCTATCGCTCTGTTCCGTTTCACCTCCCTCCCTGGTCAAGAGGGTGAAAAAAAATCGCCTCCGAGTCTTATCCTATCCTGGTCAAGAGGGAGTGTGAGCATTCTTCTGGATAATATGGCGGTAAAAAAATTAACATGAATATTTTACGGTTTTGCGGGGTTGTTGGCGGTTGAAAGTCAGGTTGTTGTTGCTTTGGATTTCTGAAGGTTAACAGCGGTGGTTATGCGCCGTTCGCCAAAGGGTCAAAGTCTTTTGGCTTGGTGTCTCGGGTGCCTCGCGATGAGCTGGATTTTCTTGCATGGCGGACAAGGGGAAGGTGGGGTGACTTCATCGGTCTTCGGACCTCGCGACTCCCGAGAGTGGGTGGGCGGCGGATGTCGTGTATGCGCTATACTTGGCAGTTGGGAAAGCGGTAATGAATGATAGCTGCGAGGCCGTGGTAACGTCGGATAGTTGTTGACAGTTGCTGGCACGATGCGCGTAGAAGATGTTTCTGACTTTCATGGAAGGAACCGAGAGCAAGCACAACCATATAGGTTGATCCGGTGTTCTTTGCGGTTAAAAACATGAGATCGGTCAGGTGCTCAGTATCGGTGATTATCATTGTTCACTCAAGGGTCAAAGTCTTGGCTTTGACATCTCGAGTGCCTCACAATGCGCTAAAATTTTCTTCAATGATGGACGACGCGTTGTTGGCAACGGGAAGTTGTGGGGACTCCATCAGTCTTTAGACCTTACAACTCCCGAGAGTGGAAGAGCGGCGGACGGCGTGTATGTGTTTACTCGGTGGTTGTGAAAGCAATAATGAATGCCAGCTGCAAGACCTTAGTAACGTCGGGTTTTTCTTTGTCGTGACACTTTAAATAGTTGCTAACAGTTGTTGGCATGATGCACATAGTAGATGTTTTGACTTTCGTGAAAGGAACCAAGAGCAAACACAACCATATTAGTTGATCTCGTGTTGTTCGCGGTTAAAAACCACGATATCAGTCCTGCGCTTACCTATGATTATGTGTCGTTCGCTCAAGGGTCAAAGTCTTGGCTTTGACATCTCCAGTGTCTCACAATGAGCTAGAATTTTCTTCCATGATGGACGACGCGTTGTTGGCAACAAAAAGTTGTGGAGACGTCGTCAATCTTCAGACCTCACAACTCGCGAGAGTGGGAGAGCAGTGGATGGCGTGTATGCGCTTACTCGGTGGTTGTGAAAGCAATAATGAATGACAATTGCGAGACCGTAGTAATGTCAGGCTTTTCTTTGTGGTGACCCTTAGGATAGTTGTTTACAGTTGTTGGCATATGATGCACATAGAAAATGTTTTGGCTTTCGTGAAAGGAACCAAGAGCAAACACAACCATATTAGTTGATCTCGTGTTGTTGGCGGTTATAAACCACGATATTGGTCCAGTGCTTATCGGTGATTATGCGTAATTCACTAAAGAGCCAAAAGTCTTGGTTTGACGCCTTCGAGTGTCTCACAATGAGCACGATTTTTCCCCATGGTAAATGGCGCGTTGTTGGCAACGGGAAGATGTGGTGACTGAGTCAGTCTCCAGCCCTCACGACTCCCGAGAGTGGGATGACGTAGATGGCATGCGCATGCTATACTTGACGGTTGTGGAATCAATAATGAATGTGAGCTGCGAGACCGTAGTGACATTGGGATTTTCTTTGTCGTGACCTTTAGGATAGTTGTTAAGAGTTGTTGGCATGACGTACAAGAGAAAATGTTTTGACTTTTGTGGAAGGAACTAAGAGCAAACACTAATACATTTTAAGTTGATCCGATGTTGTTAGTGAAGGAAATATGCCCTAAAGGCAATAATAAAGTTGTTATTTATATTTCCTTATATCATGATAAATGTTTATTATTCATGCTAGAATTGTATTAACCGAAAACTTAGTACGTGTGTGAATACATAGATAAAATGAGTGTCACTAGTATGCCTCTACTTGACTAGCTCGTTAATCAAAGATGGTTAAGTTTCCTAGCCATGGACAAGAGTTGTCATTTGATGAACCACATCATTAGAGAATGATTTGATTGACTTGATCCATCCGTTAGCTTAGCACTTTGGTCGTTTAGTTTACTGCTATTGCTTTCTCCATAACTTATATATGTTCCTATGACTATGAGATTATGCAACTCCCGAATATCGGAGGAACACTTAGTGTGCTATCAAACATCACAACGTAACTGAGTGACTATAAAGATGTTCTACAGGTGTCTCCGATGGTGTTTGTTGAGTTGGCATAGATCGAGATTAGGATTTGTCACTCCGTGTATCGGATAGGTATCTTTGGGCCCTCTTGGTAATGTATATCACTATAAGCCTTGCAAGCAATGTGACTAATGAGTTAGTTACGGGATGTTGCATTACGGAGCGAGTAGAGAGACTTGCTGGTAACGAGATTGAACTAGGTATTGAGATATCAATGATCGAATCTCGGGCAATTAACATACCGATGACAAAGGGAACAATGTATGTTGTTATGTAGTTTGACCGATAAAGATCTTCATAGAATATGTAGGAACCAATATGAGCATCCAGGTTCCGCTATTGGTTATTGACCAAAGATGAGTCTCGGTCATGTCTACATAGTTCTCAAACCCGTAGGGTCCGCACGCTTAACGTTCGGTGACGATTGATATTATGAGTTTATGTGTTTTGATGTACCGAAGGTAGTTTGGAGTCCCGGATATGATCACGGACATGACGAGGAGTCTCAAAATGGTCGAGACATGAAGATCGATATATTGGAAGGCTATGTTTGGACATCGGAATGGTTTCGGGTGAGTTCGGACATTTACCGGAGTACCAGGGGGTTACCGGAACCCCCCGGGGAGTGTATGGGCCTTAGTGGGAGAGAGGAGGAGGCGGCCAAGGTGGAGGGCGCGCCCCCCTAGCCCAATCCGAATTGGGTGGGGGGCTGGCCCCCCTTCCTTCCTGTTGGGGAACGTTGCAGAAAACAAAAAATTTCCTACGGTTTCACCAAGATCCATCTAGGAGTTCGTCTAGCAATGAGTGATCGGATTGCATCTACATACCTTTGTAGATCACGCGTGGAAGCGTTCAAAGAACGGGGATGAGGAAGCCGTACTCGACGTGATCCAAATCACCGGAGATCCTAGCGCCGAACGGACGACACCTCCGCGTTCAACACATGTACGGCCAGCGTGACGTCTCCTCCTTCTTGATCCAGCAAGGGGGGAGGAGAGGTTGAGGAAGATGGCTCCAGCAGCAGCACGATGGCGTGGTGGTGGTGGAGCTGCAATACTCCGTCAGGACTTCGCCAAGCTCTATGGAGGAGGAGGAGGTGTTGGAGAGGGAGAGGGAGGCACCAAAGGCGTGGGGTGAGAGGCCCTCCTTCCCTCCCACTATATATATATATAGGGAGCCTAGGGGGGCGGAGGCCCTAGGAGATGCAATCTCCTAGGGGGGGCGGCGGCCAAGGGGTGGGGGGCTTGCCCCCCCCCCCCAAGCAAGGGGGCGCCCCCTTTAGGGTTTCCCCTACCCTAAGGGAAAGTGGCGCCCAGCCCACTTTGGGCTGGATCCCTTCCCACTTTAGCCCATGGGGCCCTCCGGGATAGGTGGCCCCACCCGGTGGTCCCGGTACAATACCGGTGACCCCGAAACTTGTCCCGATGGCCGAAATAGCACTTCCTATATATAATTCTTTACCTCCGGACCATTCCAAAACTCCTCGTGACGTCCTGGATCTCATCCGGGACTCCGAACAACTTTTGGGTTACTGCATATACATATCCCTACAACCCTAGCGTCACCGAACCTTAAGTGTGCAGACCCTACGGGTTCGGGAGACATGTAGACATGACCGAGATTGCTCTCCGGTCAATAACCAACAGCGGGATCTGGATACCCATGTTGGCTCCCACATGCTCCTCGATGATCTCATCGGATGAACCATGATGTCGAGGATTCAAGCAACCCTGTATACAATTCCCTTCGTCAATCGGTATGTTACTTGCCCGAGATTCGATCGTCGGTATCCCAATACCTCGTTTAATCTCGTTACCGGCAAGTCACTTTACTCGTACCGTAATGCATGATCCCGTGACCAGACACTTGGTCACTTTGAGCTCATTATGATGATGCATTACCGATTGGGCCCAGTGATACCTCTCCATCATACGGAGTGACAAATCCCAGTCTTGATCCATGTCAACCCAACAGACACTTTCGGAGATACCCGCAATATACCTTTATAGTCACCCAGTTACGTTGTGACGTTTGGTACACCCAAAGCACTCCTACGGTATCCGGGAGTTACACGATCTCATGGTCTAAGGAAAAGATACTTGACATTGGAAAACTCTAGCAAACGAACTATACGATCTTGTGCTATGTTTAGGATTGGGTCTTGTCCATCACATCATTCTCCTAATGATGTGATCTCGTTATCAATGACATCCAATGTCCATAGTCAGGAAACCATGACTATCTGTTGATCAACGAGCTAGTTAACTAGAGGCTTACTAGGGACATGTTGGTGTCTAAGTACTCACACATGTATTAGATTTCCGGATAACACAATTATAGCATGAATAAAAGACAATTATCATGAACAAGTAAATATAATAATAATCCTTTTTATCATTGCCTCTAGGGCATATTTCCAATACTTCCCTCTCTCTCCCCCTTCCTTTCTCTCCTACTCCAATAAGGGAAGGGGGAATCCTACTCCCACCAGGAGTAGGACTCCCCCCTTG